CCATATATATGATCATGCCTTTCCATTTCAATTAAATACCTATAAAACCTTCTCCCTCAAATCTACAGAGAGTTTTGAACAAGGTAGGATTCCACATAATGAGTATACCTCCACTCACCTTTTTCTTTCACCAGCTTATGTAATTCTCCTTCGACTCTATCTTCCAGCAAGCACATGTTCGCCCCAAGAGGTGTAAATTGGATGAGACAAAGACTTCCTTATTGAACATCTCCTGCATGTTATAAGAGTATATCGGTTTCTGAAAAAAATCAACAAAATATATCTTGAATCTGATTAAGTCCTTCTACCCAACTTGATAAATAACTCTACACCTTTCTTCCTTCATGAAGTGAGACGGTTCATTAGATCTAAAAACCTCTGCATATGAGCTACCTTTGGTAAGGTTTTGAAAAACTTTAGGAGCATACATAGATTCATTTACCATATTTTTTCCATGTTCCAACTTGAACCCATATTTATGAGTAAGTTTCGCTCTGACGACCGAATGAAGCCTTCTTTGAAATCTCAAAACATTGACGTACAACTTCTTACTTCTAATGAATACATTATCCAATTTTTTAGCAAGTAGAGCTTCATATTAAACATAAAAAAAATCTCACAAAATCACATCTCCTACCTCTAACATCTCTCTTAGAAGGAATAACAATATCATCGATTGGTCCATAGCTTTGAAAAGCTTCATACATGTCGCGAGCTCCATAATACTATGGGAATAATGTAAAAAAGAAATAAGATGATATTCTTCTCATGTCGTCTGCATCACTTTGATGTCTTCCTTCGTTGTCCCATTGTACCTTAAGAATCCACTTGTGTTTAGAGACCACTCTCTATTATGAGTTTGTCATGGTCAGGATTACTGTTTAATTAATTTTAATAAAAATACCCTTTTTGGTCCTTTAACTATACCCTGGAGGTTTAGTTTGGTCCCTTAATTTAAAAAGTCGTCACATTGTTCCTTTAACTTTTGAAATAGCATCATGTTTGTCATTCTGTCTGTGGTCGTTAGTTAAAGTCAAAAAATAGCTTCTAAGTGACATGTGATATGGTGATGTGGACATAAAAATTAATATAGCAACCAAAATAAATTGTAGTATTCAGAAAACACAACCTCAAACTAAATAACCCTAAAACGCATCAGCAAAGGTGACTTCGAAGGTAGGAATCAAAGGCGAAATCAAAGATTGAACACGTGATCGAATGCGCAAAGGCCGGCGATATCAAAGAAGTGAAGTATTAAAGACAAAATTTCTAATACATGTTAGCAATGTTTGCATGTATTCGTAACTATATTAGGGAAAAATTTAGGGCTTTGTGTAGATTTAGAGCCTTTCATGTATTGGAGATTTGTGTTATTGTTTTGTAACTTTATTAGGGCAACATTTAGGGCTTTGTGTAGATTTAGGTTTTTTTTAATGTTTTAAGGCTTTGTGTTTTTGTTCTGTAACTGTATTAGGGAAAAATATAATGATGAAATCTATTTGAATAGGTAAAATGGACGAATATTTGAAACTCAAAATTCATCATAGTTGTGAATTCATTGATCCTAAACTAAGTGTGTATGAAGAAAGATTAGTTGATGATTTGAATATAGATGTTGACAAGTGGAGTTTTTTTTTTGAGTTGGTAGGTGTATTGAAGGAGTTAGGTTATAGGAATTTTGAGACAATATATTACAAGGACCCTACACTTGGGATGAATGTTTTAGTTGATGACAAAGGTGCTTTAGAAATTGATGATCTTTATAGGGTGCATCTAAATATATATATATATATATATATATATATATATATATATATATATATATATATATATATATATATATATATATATATATATATATATATATATATATATATATATATATATATATATATATATATATATATATATATATATATATATATATATATTCAATATAATTTGTCTCAACCTGGTTATTGTGATGTTGCTGTTGATAATGTTGATGAGGAGCAGGATGACATTGTAGATGGGGAGGAAGAGTTGCTTACTAAAATGTATGAAGAAGCAGTTAATGGAAAAAATAAGTTGAATGATGTTGTGGAGGATATTAATGTTAAAGTTGAGGACGTTAATGTTGTTTTGGATGATGGTAATGTAGGTGTGGAAGAAGTTAATGTTGGAGTGAAGGATGTTAATGTTGGAGTGGAATCATACAATGTTAGAGTGGAAGAGGTCAATGCCGGAGAGGTGCATGATGAGTTCATTTCTAATGATAATGAAGATGGCAACTACAAGTATGATAATGCTCTTGAAGTTGATTTTGAGGATGACTCTGATGGGTATAATGAGTTAGAGGAAGATGAACTTACTAATCTAATTGGCTATGAAAGTGATGGAGAGGGAAAAGACAAAAAAAGTGGGAAAAGATAAAGAAGAATTTAAAGAGAGTGATAATGATAGTGAAGATCTTTAAGGTGGTTATGAGAGTGATGATAGTAGTAGAGCTACAAGAAAGAAGTACCCAATTTTTAAGTTGCAAAAGGACATGTCCAATTACAAATGGGAGATAGGAATATATTTTACTTCAAAAGGTGATTCTAAAGAAGCAATAACCTCATATGTTGTTCAAACCGGTAAAGACCTTAAGTTCAAAAAAGTGACAAAATAAGAGTAAGGGTGAGATGTAAATATGGTTTTGAGTGGGAAACCTATTGTGCCAAGTTGCCAAATGAGGAATCTTGGCAACTAAGAAAGGTAAATCACAAACATACTTGTAGAAGAGAGTATAATGTGAAGATGATGAGTACATATTGGTTAAGCAAGAGGATTCATATGCGCAACCACCTAAGGATAAAAAATGCCTGGTAGGCCAAAGAAGAGGATGGACCTTGAATAAGGAGAGGTTGATGGGTCTGATCATAAAATGAGAAGAACATGTTTCATTGTCAAGTGTAGTAGGTGCAAGAAATTAGGACACATCAAATCTACTTGTAAGGTGACATCAACAACTAAAGGCACTTAACAACTAACTCAGACTTCTCAACAACTAACTCAGACTTCTCAACAACCAACTCAAGCTTCACAACAGTAAACTCAAGCTTCACAGACTCAAGGAAATATGCTAGCTACTCAACTATCTCAGTCATCAAAGGGAAAGTCAACTCAACAAACTCAAGTAAATAGGCCAGCTACTCAACCATCTCAGTCATTAAAAGGAAAGGGAACTCAATAAACTCAAGGAAATAGGTCATCTACTCAACCATCTTAGTCAGAAAAGGGAAAGGCACATAAGATAAGTGTTAGAAGATCATTTGCACCACATGGCCTGCAACTAGATTAACTGCAACCAAAAATGTAGTTGACTCAACAACCAGGAGGACTACTCCAACAAAGAGAACCACACCAAAGAAGTACATCTAGTTTAAATTAGCATTGTCCATTTAATAGTTTTAGCTGTATTTTGAACCACTTTGGTTGTATTTGAACCACTTTAGTTGTATTTTGAACCACTTTAGTTGTATTTTGAATCATTTTGGAATGCTATAATGTTTATTGAACACGTGTATGGAACATGTCAATGTCTCCTAACAATTCTATAATGTCTTCTGAACATATGCAAATATGTTTAAGACCAATTCAGTTATGTGTTATACCAATTCAATTATGTGTTATGCAAATTTAATGTAAATATCATTTCATTAATGGGTTGTGAACATAAGTTTAATTCTGGTATGCCACAATTAGTTTATGCCAAAATTTTATTGGAATTGCTAAATACCAAAATACATACAAGTATGTCAATTCAGTGCAATTGGAGAATTGGTACAAATCAGTTCAGTAGGAATCAACAAACTAATATATAAACAATACAAACTGGTATATGAACAAACTTCAATAGTAATCAACTTAAACTGATATAATTCTGTCATACAAACTAACTGATACATAACAATACATTAATTGATACATACATCACAATCAACTGATGAAATTCAACTGGTACAACCTAAATATTCCACTTAGTATAGTCAATACATACTCCTAAAATATTCTAAAAACCAATACATAAAAATTACAAAACACATAATATTTTTTCTACTTCAAGATCTTATTTATTTGAGTTTGAAGTTCCATAAACTCTTTCCCTAATTTTTCATTAGTCATCCTAACTTTTTCAAACTCTTTTTTTGCATCATCAATTTCCTTTGCTATGATTTCCAACCTATTCATCATAAAGTGCCCATTCTCATCTCCCACGTCCTCATAGAACCAATCGAAATAGCAATACCATCTTTGCAAGGATCCCTGAAATTTTCATAGATGTGAAATTTAAATACAAATAAAAATTACTGTATCAAAACATGTTTTTCAAATTTGGATAGAAATTAAACAAAAATTACTTACGTACCTTAAAATTTGGACAATCCCAAATTTTCCCCAAAATTCTTAACCATTGTTGTCCTGCAAAGCACAACTATGTCTCCACAATAACAAATATATTTCCATTGAGAGTTTGTGTATACCTTAAAATCACAACTTTCAAAATTCTTCCGTTTCAATAAAGATTAACATTGACCAAATTTCATACTTCAATTTAAAAAAAAAAAAAATGAACACGATAACCTCGATAAAAAAGAAATCCTAATTTGAAATTGCCCTAATTTAATTTTGAGATGCAATACACAATATATTATATTAAGGAAAAAAAAGAAGAAAAGACATTTTGCCTTATTTTCATATAATTAATTGAATCAAAATCAAAATTTTAAAGTGGAATCCAACATATGGTGATTAAGATTTCTCGAAAGCGCTGCTTCTTAACATTCGAAAAAATCGCAACGACGCCGTGTTGTCCATCCTCTTCTTTCTCCATCGCGTTAGGGTTTTCAGAGCGTTGCAGCTTCCCTTCATTTCCACCGAAATTCTCACACCACCGACCATCAATTCACTGAAATTTCAACTTCCCCATATCCACAACCAACACTTTCTTCATCGAAACCCCCTAAACCTTATAAAAAATGATAAATTTATTCATGTCGGAACCCAATCAAAACGATGACGCAGAAGACGAATCACTGAAGCTAAGAATCCAACTATTGAACGAATTAGAAACCGTTATTTGGTCAGCAATAACCTCCGCAGGCCGCGCAGAAGCTCGAATGTGGCTCTGCAAAACCCTAGCCGGATTCAACTACGTCACACCTCGCGAACAACGCGCACTTTTCATCAATTTTCTAAAAGTTCCAAACAAGAACCACGATCTCGCGTCTCAGCTTCTCAATTTAATGATCGATAAGTTGCCGCGGAAGCTTGGTTCTGTTATAGCCCGAAATTCTCGCTTCCTCGAGAGTTTCTTCATAGGTGACTGTTTTTTTCATTGATTCTATGCTTTTCACCGTTGCTTTGTTAGTGAATTTTGATTGTTTATGATAAATTGGTGATTTTGTGCAGGCAACGCTAAGCGGGTTTTGCAGTGGTTTTCGTTCTCTGGATTAGAACAGGGGAAGGGATTGCGAGCTTTGTCGAAGTTTGCTTTCAAAAATAGAGATATTTGTTGGGAGGAGTTGGAGTGGAAAGGAAGGCATGGACAATCACCTGCGATGGTTGCGACGAAGCCTCATTACTTTCTCGATTTGGACGTTCAGAGAACGGTCGAGAATTTTCTAGACAACGTGCCTGAATTTTGGTCGTCTATTGAATTTTCCCAGTCGGTGAAAGATGGTGATATTTTTCTTATTGATAGGTTGTTTTTTGTTCCTTATTTTAAGGATTTGATGTATATGGATGATTCATCTGATGTGTGGGAAGTTATAGAAGATTTCTTGGAAGAGCAGCCTTTTTCTTGTTTGTGTGAGCATCTTCTCATTAGTTTTGAAGAGAAGGATTTGTGTTACTTTGTGGAGTTGCTTTGTGAATGTCTTGACCCGAGAGTTGAGTTTCGATGTTTGGATGATGTCTCTCGGTTGTTTGTGGTTGTTCTCTTGAAGTGTGGGGTTTATGGATCTATTGACTTGATGCTGCTATTAAACACTGTCATTGCTCAGGGGAGGCAGCTTCTAAGACTTTTGCGGGATGAAGAGGCCAAAGAGTCATTGGCGAAAGTCAATGAAATTGTGTCGAAGATATCTGCAGTTCCCAGTGATGGTAATAGCTTGGCACTGATTTTCAAGAATAGGTGTAAGATGGCTACTGTGGAAGTGGTGAAGTGTCTTGGACTTCAGTCTTGGGTTCTTTACTTTAGGTTGTCGCAAGAGTGCCGGACTCCTGAGTCCTGGGAGTCTGTTTTTGTGTATAATCAAATTGGTTTCCGCAACTCTGATAAACATGTACTGATAGATGAGGATGGACTGTTGACAGTAGAAGATTGTTCTAGCTTCGATGACACTTCTTCGGGTAAAGTTAAGAAAAAGAAGAAACAAAAAGCTAGAAAGAAGAGGAGAAGGACATATGATTGTGATGATGGTAATGATGATCAGCTGCTAGATTTTGATTATGGCATCCAAAATTTGGATTATCTATCAAATACTAAAAGTTGGTTGCTTTCAACTGATAAGTACTCTTCGGCATGGAGTATTGTAAGTTCATTATCTTGGAATAAACTATTAAATAAATAAAACTCAAGTGGATGGTATTTTATTTGTAGCATTTGCAGTTAGGAATCTTCAACTTTGAACATAAAAATTCTTCCAATAGATGAGATATCCTATCCTGCACTTAATTAGATTTGCCTGTTCCCACAAAGTGAGATTTACATTATTGCTAACCTGAAAATTAAAACATTGGATGCACCTTATTGAATTTGAAGCAGTCAAGTCTATCTAAAATGTCACCGCAGATATTTTAATTTTAAATGACATGATATCTCTGTTTCTTCATCTGGTCATCTCACTTGACCTTGTAATGTGAGTGGACCTGTATTAGTAGTCTGGGGCGGCAGCGCAGTGCAATTGACATGTGCATTCCACGATCCTAGTTTTGGGATCGGCCGTCCTACTCTGCAATCTTGGATTGACAGCATAGGTATGGACCAATTTTTTGTGCCTGATGTGTTTTGGTTGAATAGCTTTGTTGACTTTTAGTTATTTGTAGTAGGACCCATGGAGAGAAAGGCCCAAATAGTGAGGTGAAAGATGTGTAGGCAAGTTATTTAGAGAGTGATAGAAAATACATGTGAATATTAACCCTGCCACACGAAGTCATACAAGACATCATTAAATGTGGTTGTTCGCAATGAGTCCAAAATAAAGCCTGTAGAGCGTGCAATCAGATCGTAACCTAGGACTATGCGTATAAGAGTGAATCAAAGGACTGTTGATATTTGAAAGAACAATAGACCAAAAGCCAAATGCTAGTTACATCCATCCATGCTATTCAGTGGTTGGTCCATAGTTTAGGAAACTATCTTTCATCTCATTATTGATATTGAGCTGAGAAGCCCTTTTATACCTTCATCAGATCTCAGCTTGTTCAAATTTACCAAAGCTTATTTTCAAGATTCTTAAAAACCATTAAGCGGCATAATGCAAATTAATTAATAATAAGCACAATGAGAAGCGCAAATAATCGCAACTTTCTACAAAACATAGCTTATTTGAGCACAATGAGAAGCTCACATAAGCACAATGAGTATATGTGGTGTGTGAGAGGGAAGAAGGGGATTATTCAGTATCATGTGTATTAGAACCTTAGGATTGGGCAAGTGGATTATTTCTTCCTCTGAGGAACGTTGCTGTGGAATTATAGGGAATTCAATATCTGTAATAGTTTCTGTAAGACTGTAATAGTTTCTTTTTAGTCATTAATAGTACTTTTCGCTTCTCTTATATTGGGGTTTTCTTGCAATTTGTATAGACCAACCAATTGCTTTTTCTTGGTATACTTTGGATTTTTAATAAGAGGAACTTTGAATTTAATTAGAGATTTTGTTATAGATGCTGCTTATTATTATTTTTATTCAACTGTTTATTTTGAACTTCAATCAATTTGTGTCCCACTGTATAATTGAGTTCTAGTTTTTTAATATTTCAAATTTTCCATTTGGAGGCACACCTTGTGTCCCCTGTATATGAAAATTTATAGTTCTTGGTGAAGGTGGAATAAACTATACTAAAGTTCTTTTATTATTACTGATTTTATAACTGCATTTTTTTTTGTAGGCGGACTTACCTGAGCACCTTCATAGACTGTGTTTGTCTAGGTGGATGGTATGGCTCTTTGAAAAATGAATTCGGAAGTCTGCTTCACAGTATCTCCCCAAAAGATGTTATGACATCATCATTTCCAAACTGTTGGGTGACAAGATCAAGCACCCCTTAGTTGGTGTTTTCGACTCAATTCAAATGTATAAAGCGGGTTGTGGTTTTTGAATCTGCTCGGCTATTGTTGGTGATTTGGAAAATTTTATACCTCATTTTGAAGATTCCGAAAAGCCTGTTTAAGTTATACATCAAAGTCGATAAACCTTGGGTTCATTGTCAAGACCCCGAATTGATAAAAACTCTGCTAAGTTGCTTTACAGACTGCTACCTAATCAGAAAAATCGATGTCAATGTGTCAACCCATATGTTCCGCAGTTCCATGTTGTAAATCCTTATGGCTTCAACCGGGCAATATTCAGAATGCTATGATGAGCATGCTAGGCAAGTGACAACACTCAAATTCCATGAGTAGATTTCGGAGAGCATATTCGTCAAGTTGTAAACTTTACATTTGGCAATCTTTGGCCAATTGGAAGTTATTATTTTGTGGTAGGAGACAGGGATGCATGATATTGTCATTGTAAGTCTTCCATTTTTTTGTGTTTTATTCCTTTATGAACCAAATGATTGAATTAGAAAATTGACTACTGGGATTGATTTCTATGCGTCTTGCAGTATAAGGAAGAATCTCAACTAATATCTTCTATGTCTCGTGGATTGATATTTTGTTGAACTTGTGATGTACCATACAAGTTTGTTATACAGATAGACAGCGCACTATTTTTTTGATGATAACAATTACTCAACTGTGTTTAGTCACTATTACACATTTCTTTTTGTCCTTACATTTTGAAATGTATCTATATCAATCCAGTTTTTATAATAAGTTTATTGATTTGAATGTAGTTCTGTTAAACTTCTGTCAAGGTTAGAATGTTGAGATTTTGCTCTATATTTAATACTTATAACTTGCACCTCGGCTGTCTTATTTCAAAATGCTTCACCGTGTCCACCAAAAAGATGTTCTCTACTTAGGTGATAGATTTGAGGTTGTTTAAGAATTGTTTTGAAACTTAAGAAATAAAGTTACTTGAAATTGGTGATAAAGAAAACAAATTAGGATTTTGAATCTCGTTTGTCACTTTTCATATTACTGAGATTAGTGTTTTTCATAGTTTTGTAATTGGACCTATGGTAATTGTTCATTAGATGATTGTTATAGAAATATGGAATCGTCAACCTGTAATATAAAAGTTAGCGTTCTACCCAAGTTTAGATAGATGGAACTGTGAATCAAGGTTAGTTTAATGAGAATTTCTACACCTAGTATCTTTCTTTTAAACTTCACGAAAAACCCAAAATATCTCATAATTTAGATATGCATATTCGAATGTAATTCTACAAAAATTTATAAAAAAAGTATTTTTGGATTATATATTCAAATACATTTCATTTTATACAAGAAAAATTGATTTCGGATATATATATCTGAATTTTACCCTGTTATAAACATTTAAAAATATATCTAAAAATTAGATTAAATTAAATTAAGTTTCTATAAATTTTTTCTTATATTTTTGAAAATATGAAAACAGAAAATAAATCAAATAAAATAGAAAAACAAGAAATTTAGGATTTTTAGGGTGGAGTTTTCTATTTTGTCAAAATAAAAGATTTTGATCTCTGATTTTTTCAGATGAATTGACATGATAAAATTTTAATTCAGAGTCAATTTTTTAGAAAATTGAGTTTTTTTATGTTAGATCGTAAAAGTCAGAGAGACGCAAGAACTCCTTCGGCCTAGTAGTGTTGAAATTCTCAACATTACTAGGTCTAAGGAGTTCCTGCATTTATGACATTTATGACCTAATGTAAAAAATTTAGTTTTCTAAAAAATCTATGAATTAAAATTTTATCATGTCAATTCATCCGAAAAAAATCATGATCAAAATCTCCTATTTTGGGACAAAGTAAGGGACTCCGCCCTAAAAATCCAAATCCCTTGTTTTTCTATTTCATTTGATTTATTTTCTGTTTTTCATATTTTCGAAAATCTGAAATTTTTTGTAAACATTTAATTTAATTTTATTTAATTTTTAGTTGTATTTTTAAATTTTTATAATAGTAAAATTCAGATGTGTATATCCGAAATCATTTTTTTCGTAAAAAATAAGGTATATTCGGAGATGTATATTTAAAAATACCTTTTCATAAAATTTTGTGAAATAGGTGCGTTCAGATATACATATTCAAATTCTAGAGATATTTTAAATTTTTCGCAAGGTCTAAAAAAAAACTAAATATAAAGAGAAATTCTCTAATTTAATTTGTCAGTTTAGAAAATAAGATATTTAACTGCTACAAAATAGTGGCCTTAAATGCACTTTGGTCATTTTATTAGAGCATTGTATTGAAATTATTTTGAAGCATTTTATTTGTCACCCTTAAGTTTTTCAAGTTTTTACCTGGCAACCCCATTTATTATTATTTGAAAAATTAATTTTTTTATATTATCTGAAATTTTGAAATATATTGAAATTTTTGATAGTGTAAATTTTTTTTTTGTTGAAAATGAACTATCAAATATTTTAAAAAGTCTAGTAATTCTTTTCAAAATTTTTGGAAATATCCAATATTTTCTTGAAATTTTCATTTATGACGAAAAGAAATTTTAAACATTTTTAGGACATAAGAGTAATAGCACCATCATTGAGGGTGTCAAGTATAAGTTTAAGGATGGCAAGTCAATTCTTCCTTATTTTAATGATTTTTAATTTTTAGTCTTTCATTTTAAAAATTAATTTTTTATTTCTTAAACTTTACATCACGTGAGATTTAGTTAGTCCTCTTTAATTTTTTATTTTTAATGAGTTGACAATATTGATTAGGATGATTTATTTATAAATACTAATTAATTAATAAATTAATTAATAATTTTTGTTATGTTTTTCTTAAATTAATCAAAAATTTAAATGAAACATTTTGGTCCCAACCTTTTTGGCAAGCATGGCAATGGACAGGGCGGAGACGAATTTAAACATATTCAAACTCATCTTTGTCTTTTAGGTTCGTCTCTAAATTAGGTCGGAGTTAATAATTGTTCTCCGTCAACGCCTCCAACAAGAAATAGATTTTTCCGCATTTGTCCTTATTTTCACCTGCATAAATTATATATATATATATATATATATATATATATATATATATATATATATATATATATATATATATATATATATATATATATATATATATATATATATATATATATATATATATATATATATATATATATATATATATATAACAATAAAAATCAATAGTTAAACTAAATAATTGATTATTTTAAAAATAATTATAATGTTTGATCATTTTTATTTAAATTGTATTTAAAAAAATAATAATTCTAATAAACATGATATTGTAACATTAAAAATATAAATGAGTAATAAAATTATGAAAAATAAATTAAATTTAGTTGGCAGATGTGGGGTGAAAGATGCTAGTACCCGCTCTATACCTGCTCCACACCCATCAACTAAATTTAATTCATTATAACCAAAAAAGCAATAGAGCACAAGCATAGCACAGAGGGAGTGTGTACTTTAAAGCATTTCGATTCCTTCATTTTAAAGGTGATTTTTGGTTAACAATGAAGTGTAATTATTAAGTATTCCAACACTCCCCCTCAAGTGTGAGTTCATAATGCCTCCGCTTGTACCGCCGTTGACATCTTACAACAGAATACCACTTCCTCGGCGTATTTCGATACAAGTCTCTTTCGGTCCCTTTCTCGAATCAAAGACTCTGATACCATGTTGGCGGGAATTACCAGGAGCATCAATATATATATTGTAGGAATAAACACCTTTGTGAGAGACACACCACTTATCCACCTAAAACCTTAAGGTGATAGGTGAGTGGGTTCTCTCACTTATATATTATCAAGTCTCCATATTTCTATCCAATGTGAGACTATTTCCCTACTTACTCACACTTTCTATATTATTCCAACATTATTTACTCATCTAATCATATTATCTTCATTTTCAGGCACACATGATGACATGGTTAGCATGAGAGAGAAAGAGAAGCTTTGTTGTTGTTGGAACGTGTTCGTGTTGTTTTGTTGGACATAAGCCATTGAATGCTTCTAGAAGAAAGTTCCACATGATTTTTGATAAAATATCCTTAGTGTTTAAGGAATTTTTTAATGCACCCTTGTATTATTAGAATATCTCGTGAAAATACATTTATGCCTCTTGGTTTCGGAGATAAATTTCCGTACGCATCAAAATTTAACACACTTCTGAATCAAACCCTAAATCAATGTAAAGAATTAACCGAAGATACATCTCTGTATACCTTACATAGATGCATATCCGAATGATTCAAAAGCCAATGCAAATCTGGATGAGCCCCTAACTCCATGTGCAATTATTCCAGAGATACATGTTCGTAAACTTACATAGATGCATCTCCGAAAGCTATTTGTTCAAAAACGCACCAGAAGCCCTTCACCTTCCTCACTTACTCAAACTCTCTAAAAACTCATTTTCTCAAACTCTCTCAAACTTCATTTTCTCAAGCTCTCTCAAATCACATTCAAGCAACATCAAATAACTTCAAACATCCAACTACATGCAACAACAAGCAACTTCAAGACACTATTTGTAAGTTTTTCCCCTTTATTGAGTTTATGTATAAATGTGTAGAAATTGATTTCATAGGTTATGAAATAGATAGATTTTACATGTTTGATAGCTTATACCTAATAAGAAACGAGGTAGATATGTAATTTTTACGATCAACACATTATTTTTGACGGAGGACTCTTTTCAAATGGCTCTGAGGTCAAAGGTGTTGTAGATGCTATGACGGCGGAGCCTCGGGAGGCACTGCAATATAGGAGGCATCACATGAATAAGGGGCACGAGGCTGAGGCCGAGTCCGAGTCCATCATACACAGTAAATTATAGTACTTATACTCTTGATATATTTTTGATTGTTTTTTATTTATCGATTAT